GGCAGAGGGAGAGGGAGAATCAGGCTTTCTGCGGAGCAGGGAGCCCGATGCAGGGCTCGATCCCAGGACCCTGGGATCATGACCTGAGCCGAAGGCAGACGTTCGACGACTGAGCCACCCAGGCACCCCATCACTTGAAGAGTTTCTTATTGCAATATTCTGTGTCACCTGCACTGCTTCATACAGGTTTTCTCTCTTCCTCTTCACTTCCTTTCTGTATCCCCCTCTCCACTTCCACTCCAGAAGTCTTTCTTTATCTTCATGGAGAACTCTGTGTTAGAGCAGGTAGTATAGACAATACACCCAAAGTAGTATCCATCTTCCAGTGAAAATTTTTCTCTTGCATTCATTCAGCAAACTAATGAAATCATGTGTCAGGTACTTTGCTATATGCTGGGGATACTAGAATGAGAGGATTCTAGTTGCTGAAAAAAAGTAAAGAAGAAAATGATTAATTTTGCATAAAATAGAAGAACCAGAGAATCAGGAAAGCCTTTGCAGAGAAATTCACGTCTGAGCTGAGTCTTGAAGGAAGCGTGTATTTCATTGTGTTACAAGGAGAGTCACAGAAATGAGTCATGTGGGGCGCCTGGGTGGCTCAGTTGGTTAAGCGACTGCCTTCGGCTCAGGTCATGATCCTGGAGTCCCGGGATCGAGTCCCACGTCGGGCTCCCTGCTCGGCAGGTAGTCTGCTTCTCCCTCTGACCCTCCCCCCTCTCATGTACTCGCTCTCTCTCATTCTCTCTCTCTCAAATAAATAAATAAAAATCTTAAAAAAAAAGAGAAAGAAATGAGTCATGGGTTCCTAAACTACAAGGAAGATTTCAAGGAATATGGCACAGGCATGTATAGATGCACAGGATGAATTAAATGGAGATGAAAATGAAAGGATTAGGGACCCAAATTGTGAAGGGCTCGAAAAAAATTCCATTTTGAGGAATTTGAACTTGATCCTGAGGCAGTTAAAAAGCTTTTAAATCCCTTCAAGCAGAAAATGGACATAATGAATGCAGTTTAGGAGTTTAACTCTAGCAACAGCGTAGAGAATGAGTCTGAAAGGAGAAAAACTGGAGGCAGGGATACCAGGTAAGAGGCTTATATCAGATATGATGGGTGAACTGGGATAGTGGAGCACCACTTGAATCAACAGCAGTTGATGACCAGTTAGAAATGTATGGAAGGGGGAGTCAAAAAGGACTTGAAGATTTCTGGCTCAAATACCTAGGAGGGTCATGGAATCCTTAAGTAAGATAGAGAATGCAAGAGAAGGAAGTTTATGTGGAGAAAACAAAATACTGGAGGCTTTTGTATTTGTGGCACTTACAGGGAATCCAAGTAGGAGGTGCCCAGGAGAGTTGCCTAGGATACAGATACAGATTTGAGAGTTCACAGAGAATAAATCAGAAGAAAGTAGTATTGTGGAAACAAAAGGAATACTGCAGAAGTATAAGGCTGAAAACTACAACTGGTCACGATTGGACTCTTAACTTCTTTCATGAGAAATCTTGCTTTCTTGGGATTCCTTGGCTCTACCCAGGTTGTCAACACACTGTGTACAGATAGTACAGAAATCACCTTTGTTGGTTATGCTGTGCCTAGAGATACTCTCCTTAAAGATTTTTTCTATTTTAATTAATGTAGACATGTGTAAAGTGTTTAATGACCACAGGTGACTCCAAAGCTTCCTCATTTACAGTGTCAGTGAGAATCATTATGGAAAGCCAGAATACCAGAGTTTGAATTCTGACTCATAAGCTGAGTGACCTTGGACAATTAACCCTTAAGATTCTTGTCTTTAAAGAGGAGAGCGTCATAATCTTGCTTGGCCTTTTCTACTTTACAGTAAAGTGCTATATGAGTATTATTTTATTCAAGTATACTCTAATCATAACCAGCTGTGCTGTTAAGAATATGAAATACTTAAGCATTTAAATTTCTATTTGAAAAACCCTCAGACCACGGAGTAACTTGTATTTGAAAAGAGGGCTGACTGAAGAGGTACTTCAGTCGATGAAGAGGTCCAGAGAGTTGGCCTGCAGTTGTCTTGGAATTTGTTCATTTCCACAGTTGCGAGCGAATGCCACTATATAGTGGACATTTGGCATATTAGAATATGGCACCACCATACAGTGGCACCGAACATGCAAAGCTGATAGTATTTTATACTGTGCCTGGAATTTCCAAAGACTTCCTCTATGCTTAATTGTTGTAAGTGGTTTGGATAAATGAAGTTAATTCCAATTTGTTTCTTTGCATTATCAAATAGTTTTTTATAAAAAGCCATATATATGGAGCAGAGTACATAATAAGACTATCTATTTAGACTTAGTACATATCCATCAAGTACAACTCATTATTGGTAGCTTCATTTATAAGTGGTTCTATCACCTAAACCTTGTTTTGAGATATTTTATCATAAGGGCAATCAGGTGGATCCTGGAAAGAGAATATTTTCTTGTCTGACTTCTTTATTTTCTGGTAGAGAACAAGACTTTGAATTGCTTAATTCACAAAAACAAAGCAGTCTGTGTATCAGGCTTAAGTGGATTTCTTATTTGTAAGTGCCCTTCCGCGACACCCGCTATCTTCTGCTACGTTCTGATGTAGGAAGATGGACTTCTGTATTTAAAAAGTCTTCCCTTGTAAATAATAAAAGGATATAATGATTGAGGGAAAACATTTAAAGAAAAATACTTTTAGAGGAATTGGGATATTAAGATTTAACATTTGGAAGTAATCAATATACCTGTACTTGATGACATCTTCTACAACAGGCATTTTATTTCTGTAGGCATTAATTCATTACGGTCCTTGAGAATTTTGGAAGTCATCTTGAAAATAGGTTATATGTCATTTAACAATAGCATCTAGAATTATTTAGAATTTTTTTTTTTAAGATTTTATTTATTTATTTGACAGATAGATAGAGAGCACAAGTAGGCAGAGAGGCAGGCAGAGGGAGAGGGAGAAGCAGACTCTCCACTGAGCAGGGAGCCCGATGCAGGGCTCAATCCCAGGACCCTGGGATCATGACCTGAGCCGAAGGCAGCCACTTAACCGACTGAGCCACCCAGGCGTCCCAATATTTTTTATTTTATTTGAAAAATAAATTTATCATGTTTCTTATAATGAATATAACAAGAGCTATTGAATTGTGAAGTATAATTTCTTCCAGGTAAATTATTTTAATTATCAGCAGTTATCTGGTAGCAGAATAAAAGCAATTATCTACTGCAACATAGAATTTTTTTAAGGTTAGCAACCATAAGCTAGACTTCAAAAATCTAATTGTTTTCCTTTAATGGCTTTTCATATTAAATGCTCATGTAAAGCAGATGCTCATTTGCCAGATCTGTTAAATCTCAAGAAGCATGTATCAATGAAACTATATATGAAATGAAACTGTAATATAAAATAAAACCCTGTGAACTTCAGTGAACTTTTCAGTGTTTTGATTTGAAAGTATGGATGTCATATGTCTTCATTTATGAGAAATTCATTTCTGAATTAACAAATAGAAGTCCCCTGATGGTTTAGGAATTAACTTGAGTAAAGTTAAATGTCTGTTCCTTATACTCAGTCATAACACTTTGATTGTCATCAGGTACTTTTATGCCGATGATGATGGCTACTACTTTTCATTTTATTAAGCTAGTTAGCCTAAGTTGGATATAAGTTTTTATAATCAGTGGTTTATCATTAAGAGGTGTCTCATTGTATTATTTCCTGTTGCCACTGTAGCAAATCACCACAACACAAATTATTCTCTTATAGTTCTGGATGTCAGAAGTCCAAAATGAGACTTACGGTGCTAAAACTCAAGGTGTCAGAAGGGCTGGTTTCTTCTGGAGGCTCCAGGGGAGAATCTGTCTGTTATCTCTTCCAGCTTTTTCAAGTGCCTGCATTTCGTGGCTTGTGACCATATTATTCCAGTCTCTGCTTCTGTTGTCACATAGCCTTTTACCTCCTTTCCTCTTAGAAGAACAGTTGTGATTATATTTAGGCCTCACCTGTATAATACAGGCTAATCTCCCCATTTTAAAAATTATTAACTTTATCGCATCTGCCAAGTCCCTTTTGCCATAAGCATTCACAAGGATCCAGGAATTAGGAACTAAATATCTTTGGGAACTATTACTCACCCTACCACACTCATCAGTTCAACAAATTAAAAATTACTATTTAAAAAAAAAAATTCCTATTTTTAGTAGTTTCACAATATTAAAGCTATAGTTTAGAGCAAGCAAAAAAAAAAAAAAGGAAATTTAAATTCATTTCATTAAAACATTTATTTCCACACTTCTGTTTCATAAAAATGCCAGCAAAATGCACATTTTTAACATTTATAATATTTCAACACTTGCTATACACAAGCTCCTTGCTGAGCAGGGAGACTACTTCTTCTGCCTGCTGCTCTCTCTGTCTCTCTCTCTTTCTCTCTGACAAATAAAATATTTTAAATTAAAATAAAATAATAAAAATAAAATTATCAGGGCACCTGAGTGATGCAGTCAGTTGAGCATCCCACTCTTGATTTCAGCTCAGGTCATAATCTCAATCAGTAATTCCTTCATATCATCAATTTCCCAGTGTTCAAACTTTCAGACTTCTTGAATGTCATAAATGGCTTGTTTGCTTATAGCCGTTCTATTATCTCTTTAATGTGTAATTTTCTGCATTTTAAAATTCCATCAAGATGGGTTTTTTAATGAAGATTTTAATCATTTGATTATATCCCAGATAATTAGGCATTATCTTAAAGCCATTTACCAATTATATTCTCTTTTGAAAATTATGTGACTATATTCTTCCCTTTAATTCTTTAAGTGTTACCATGCATTTTTCAGGCTCTTTTCTTTTTTAAAGCACCATGTATCTTCACTGCTTATTTCATTTTTATAAAGCACTTTGATGACTTTCTTTCAAGTGGCATTTATATTTTCAGGAACTAAAGTTGCAAATAATGGTTATTTGTAAGTTCCAGTGTTGAGCTATGATATCTAAAGTTTGCTCCAACAAAAGACTGTATAATTTCTACAGTATTTAAGAAAGTAAATCAGTTACATTTTCTTTTGTTCCTCTATAATCCTTAAATTTTTACAATGACTATGCAGTATTTTTGTTGTAAGGAAAAATATTTTTAATGTAAAGACAGTGACTTTTTTCTCATATCCTGTATTAAATTTTCCTTAGGAGGCATATCTATCTAAAAATGTGATAGAAATAAAGTAGTATACCAGAAAATGAACTGTATAGGGCAAGCAGGTTTGAAATTCTTTTTTTTTTTTTTTAAAGATTTTGTTTTTTATTTATTTGACAGAGAGAGACACAGTGAGAGAGGAAACACAAGCAGGGGGAGTGGGGGAGGGAGAAGCAGGCTTCCCGCTGAGCAGGGAGCCCGATGCGGGGCTCGATCCCAGGACCCTGG